TCTACTGTGGTGTAGTTTCCTCCGAGCTGAAATCGCTGGAATACCGGATCCAACCGTGTCGCCGTGTCGTGGGACTCGTCTACCGTTTGCGAAGCGTGGGCTGGATTGAAGCTTGGGTTCATACCAGGTTAGACCCCCCCCCTGATTGCCACGTTTTTTCAGCCCTACTGCTATCGTAAAACAGGTAAAACCGTAAATCTCTGAAAAACTCCCCGAAGACGATACCCTAGAACCGCAAGGACTGGGCAAAAATTTCGAAGAAAAAACTACCAGTCTACCCCCCTTCTTAACTCAACAAACCGATCTCGTAGTCGTACCTTAGTGTAATCGACAGAAGGAACAAAAGCAAAATAACCAATGAAGTCAACAAAGCGCCAAGACAAGGTAGAATCAAACCAAGCAAAGCGGTCACAACATTCGTTATTAGAAATTTTCTGTAATTTTTTTTTATTTTTGGGGGGCTTCCCTCTAGGAACCCCCCCCCCCCCCCTTTTATTGTCGCCTTGCCCAACAGGTCCACACCGGAGCGACAGAGCTGCGATAACAGTTTGGCGAACCCCCCTTTTTATTGCCGCCCTGCCCAACAGATCCACGCCGTAGCGACAGAACTGCGATAACAGTTTGGCGAACCCCCCTTTTATTATTATTATTATTATATTTTTTTTTTCCTAAACATTACCCAATCCAATTACAAAAAGGAAATCTAGCAAATCCTCCCGTTCCTTCCATAAAATTCAACGAAATAAAGTTGACTTGATGCCAAGCGCCGCTTCGTGTAGCGAAGCCGCCTTACATTAAAGCAACCAATTGAATTTATCACGCGAGGAACTGGATTTATTTGTAACATAAGCTGAATTTGACTCTGTACTATTACATTTGCGTTATACTATTATTGTTGCATATATTTCGCGTTGGGAAATAAAACGAATTATTCGGAGAGGGCCATTTACCCCTCCATCCATCAATCTACGCAACCCTATAGCAAAAAAAAATCATTTACTTTCAAAATTATTTTAATTGATTCTCGGCTGGGTTGTTTGTCAAAATAGGACAATTGCAGAGCGCATCGTATGCCTCCCTTTTTCTTTTCCCCGTAGCATTTGTTACATCCAATGTAAATCAGTCTTTGCTGTGTTTTCTAACCGTAGATGGCCCTAGTCATTTCATTTAATATCGAAGAATCGTCCCATCCCGTCATCACTACCTTTTGAAGCCACTACTCTGTTACACTACTACTAATTGAGCAATCCTTTAACATGAGCACCCACCACTCGAATACAACAAAAAAATTATACGATGTGCTTTATCAAAAGCGGGAATTATTTTGGCTTAGCTTTGCTTCTAAGCAAAATTTGAAGAGAAATGGATTATTCTCCTTGGTGGTGACTAACTGCATGGATGCCTGTTATCAATACAGATCCAACTCTTTCCTTTATTTGCGAGTCCTTATTACTAAGCATATGGTCTTAGCTCTAGATTCTTTGCAAATATTTATGAAATTAAAAAACTTTCTCCTCAGACAAACTTAGCAGGTTCGGTTATCAAAAAAAGAGAAAAGACACATAGCTTTGAAAGGCGTTAACATTTCTATTCCAAGTTGTAACTTAGAAATCTTAAGGGGATCAAAAACTTGTAAACCATAACCTGGATGCTTTTTTGTACACATTGAAATACTCGCAACTAAGGAGCTGTATATATATATATATATATGTGTGTATTGAAATTGGTTATCATGAGAGATGATAAGATGAAATTAAAAATTAGAATCAAAAATTGAAATTAAACTTTCACTGTACACCGTTTTCTTCATTTGTAACTTCAGAAAGACAACTTGAAATGATGGTAGAGAGTAGCTAAGCAAATCAAGGAAAGGAACAAAAAATTTTATATAAAAATTTTCCCTTTTTTTTTTTCCAAATATTATATTATCCCTACAAGAACACTGTAGTTTGTACTGAAAGGGACGCTGACTAGCTAGCTAAACAGGTGACTATTTTTCTTAAGCTACCTTCGCTTTAAACGTAGATCGCGTAGATGTATATATAGGTACGTAAAATTATATTATATCAATATATTAACAACGTATACACCTAAAAATATACATATACACGCATGTATGTATCATTGATTGTTATAATAAAAATCATTATTACAAGATTACATATATACATGTATACGTATAATAGGTTAGTTACCGTTGGGCGCCACTTTGTCAAAGTGCTATAGCGACCAACGTCTATTTAACCGAAATATAAACCTCGGCGCATTTTACTTTATTTAAATAACATTTAGAAAATGTTTGCCGGCGAATTAAAGAGAATACTTTAAGGTTATATAAGAGAGATTTTGCAATGTATGGGCTTCGCGTTGGGCGCCACTTTGTCAAAATTCTGCGGCCAACGTTTGTATTGAAATTACGCAATAACGGAAATAATGAAGAAAATCACCAAAAAAATAAAAAAGGTAAAATCAATCAAAATATTGGGTTAACTATTACGTTGGGCGCCACTTTGTCAAAGTGCTATAGCGACCGACGTCTATTGAGATTTGGGATAATAAGAATTTAAACTTGTTACACCCAATAAAGAAAAAGAAATTAATTCTATTTGTTCGGATTTCGTTGGGCGCCACTTTGTCGTGCGACCAACGTTAATCAATAAAAGGGGGAAAAAAAAAATTTCCTCTTTCTTTCTTTAATTAATTTAAAAATAATTATAATGGGTAGCGTTATCGTTGGGCGCCACTTTGTCACGCGACCAACGTCTATTACAACTAAATACTTATGAAGGCTGGATTAAAATTATTTATCCGGGTTACCAGTTTTCGTTGGGCGCCACTTTGTCATTCTATGGCGACCAACTTACTGATCAATAAAAAGAAAAAATTTTTTTATACCGGGTTTTAATCTCGTTGGGCGCCACTTTGTCGTGCGACCAACGTTAATCAAAAAAATATTAGGAAAGATTTCTTTCCCATAATAGGTCTGCCCCACGTTGGGCGCCACTTTGTCACGGTACTAGCCCCTTTGTTGCCGGTAGAGCTTCATGACAAAGAATACAACAAAAAAAAATTAAAAGGTCTCGTCGGTTGTCTATCGTCCGTCTGTCCACCGTGAGTCCGTTTGTAACCGTGTGGAGTCCTCCCTACAGTGCCATCATATGTACACCCCCTTCATCTCAGCTACAGCGGTGGCAGCTCGCGCTCAGCCACACATCGGGGACAAAAAAAAGGAGTTAAATGAACTAAGATACCTGATACTGTTGGTGCCGCTGTAGAGTCCGCGGCGGTAATTGTTTCCTTCGGCGGTTCCTGTTCACAGCTAAGGGGTCGTTGCCTGCTTCAAATCCTCACATTGTATGAAAGGTAATTTGGTCTTATTTATTCATGTAAAACACTAGCACACGATCAAGCAGCTATCGTCGATAAAATCGAAAGAAATCTCGTAAACTTGATTAGTTTATGTTTTTCAAAGTAAATATATTAGTATACCAACATGGAGAAATTTCTTCCTTTTTGTTTCTTTCTCTGTTGTTTCTGTTTTAATTAAAAGCTGAAACATTCATATTTGTTATTGATTTGCAATTTTAGTTTATTTTGCATATATTTTAGTTCACAAATTACACATTTGGTAAGTTTTCTTTTCCTATAAAATTAGTTTTACATATTTTCTTTGCTTTACTTGCATATATTTCTGGTCACAAATTTCGGATTTAGTAGTTTTCCTTTCACATGCTTATTACTTTTCGTTCTTCGTGATTATTTTTTTGTTTTGCAACATTTGAGGTATTTTTGATTTTGTACTTAATTTTTATTACAAAATACCCAATAAACTGATTTCTTAAATTACTGAGACGAACAAATTATCAGCAGGGTTATAACATATAAATTTGGAATTTAGTTCACCAAGTTTATAAGAAAGAACTATTTGCACTTTTAGGTTTTATTTTTTTTTTACTTTTTATTAGTTCTCTTTAATAATTGCTTTTCTTCGAACTGCCAAAAGGCATCCCTCTATCTTTTTTATTTCAATATTTTGTTTGCTATTTTGATTCACTGCTGGGTCTTATAAAACGTTTAAATTTCTATTTATTAAATAAAGTTGAAGTTAATAATAACTTTCACAACTCGCGGACACGTCCGCACCTCAGCAGAGGCCAAGTCGTTCTCCGCTCTATTTTAGAAATAAAACACAGACAGACTTCTCATTCCTGCTCAGTTTCTCTCTTCTTCTTTCTGTTGCTCTCTATAGCGGCTTGCCGCTACTCTCACAAAAGCAAACAACGATCCCGCAAAATCATAGGATTTTGCTTGTTCTTGCAAAAGCAAAAGAAAAAAGGAATACCGCAAAATCACATGATTTTGCCTGTTTTTGTAAGAGCAAAAAGGAATACCGCAAAATCATACGATTTTGCCTGTTTTAATGAAAAAAGAAAAAAAAAGGGAAAGAACAAAACAATCATATCCCGCAAGATCATGCGATTTATAAACGGTACCACAAAATCACACGATTTTGTCTAACGGCATGCCGTTATTGCGATACTTGCGGTTGACACAAACCGACAGACACCCTACCCAAGGTTTGTTCGCGGCCGTTACATATAAATACTGAACAATCAAATGGCAATCAAATGTCGCTAATGCTGCAGTTTCCAATACATCTCTTCTGATGCGGTCAAGATCACCCGTTAACCATCTCAATTATGAGTTAAACCTAGATAACGTGTCAAATATTATTTTTAATTGTGATTTAAAGTTTGGTGGCAATGAATGAAGGCTTGACGGTTGATATTTTCCTGTGCAGAGTTCAAGTTTTAACCAGGCAAAACCTACGAAGAAATCGCGAATTGTTATGTCGTCGGCTTCACTTATTGTTTGCAGGAAAAGCTCTAGATTTGTATTGAAGATATCATGGTAAGATTCAGGTAGTTGTATGCGAATCCCTTTGTCGCGAGATTAAAATTTAATTTAAGCACCGAGACTCAGACTTGGATCTAAGAGAAATGATCCGTAACAGGAAACAAAGAGTCACTGAGAAATATGATACGTACTATAATGCAGTTTTGACGGACGGATTGGATATTCCAATAACCGATAGCGAGCTTGTCGAGATTCTGAAAAGAGGTTTACGTCCTGAAGTTTGCAAAGAATTAATCCATTTTGATAATACAAGTACACCTCGTTCGAGAAACTTCGTTCTAAAGCATGAATTTCTCGAAGAAGAATTAAACATGTATAAATTCTCTAAACCTAATATTCCTCATGATTCAGAAATTGTGGAAAGCGAAGACATTGAAGAGGGTGAGTTTGACGGAGATGGTGTTAAAGAATACTACCTAATAACGTGTCGGAATTGTTCACAACATGGTCGTGATTTTGAAGACTGCCTAACGGACAGGTCTATATCTTGGTACATTTATGGAATAGACTCGCCATGCCTCAGTCCAAGCCAGTCCTATCGATAGTCCGAAAGTCTTACTAAACCATTAGTGCGAGTAATTAGATAATCAGGTTGTGCATAGTACATTCGAGAACGATCCTCATATGATATTCAAATCTTATCATGCCTGATTACTCGAGTACAATAATATCAAGGCCCGAATATTCAATGAACTTGTCCGTTCCTTCAATTCATAAAAGACCTAAACGATCCCCTACTCGTTTAAATAACTTTTGGAAATTTTGTTTTAAATAATAGAAGGATATTCTATTCAGTAGTCCTTTCTGATGATATACGGCCATTTGTTTCTGTCTGGTGGTTTGATCAAAATGTGTTAGGACTAATTCACACTGATGCACCTTTCCCATGTTTGGCTTCTGATTATGCGAAGAGTTTTCTTCAAGGAAATAAATGTCCATCGAGAAAGTTTACGGTTAAAGACGGCTGACGATAGTAAACATTCTCCAGTAGGTTGTATAATCACCGACGTGACCTTCCTAGGTAAAATAGCACCTTTTCCTTTCTTGATTATGTCATATCTTCAGCAAAACTTATATTTGGGGATTGATTTCGTTCGCGCCTTTGGATTTTTTTTGTGAGGGTCTGAACACGGCTTCCTCTTTTTTTAATGACTAATTATCAAATATCATAACCAAGCACCATTTGAGCACAGAACCAGCTAAAAAGTTAAAAGGTGTTACGAGTGCAATTATTGGGGCATATATTACGCCTCGAACCGAGTTAAGTTTCACATGTATTTTAGCTGAAATAGCACATAGATTAGCTAAAGATTTGGCATTTATGAGCTTTTCGGTTGCGCGCGGGTTCCCAGCGAGGACCAGTAAATTCCCATCGCGTAAAATCGAGATGGAGTCGATGTATGTTGTATTGCTATCTAGAGCTTTTTTTATAGCAAAAGGGCTAATTTGGGAAATTGTTATTCTAGCATCGGTTGAAGAAATAACAATATATTTTTTATCAATAGGGGTTATATCGCTAATTGGCAACACCGTAAAATCGGAATTTTTACTTTTTTTTTGTTGGGGGGATATATCACTTAATAGATGAAATCTATTCGAGTTTTTATCTGGCGGCCCCGGGGCTATTATGCCTTATTGTTGTCTATTGTTTATTATTTGCGAAATAACCACGCACTAGAAAAGGTTTGGGAAACTACTGAATAAAATGTCAGATGTTTTTAATTTTTTTTTTTTTTTTTTTCAATTTATTTAAAGGAAAACACGTACGGTATCCGCGATGAACACTTTTCGCAATAAACACGCAAAAACTTCAATAAATTTTAATAAGTTTGAAAACTTTTAAAAACGTATAACGCAATAAAGAAATTAAATTGCAAAAATTTTTTTACAAAGAGAAAAATATGACCACAGCGCTTGAACAGAGTTGCCGTTCTGTTAAATTTTTTTTTTTTTTAGCTAGATTTGAAAAAATTAAATTAGATACGCTCAGGGTTTATCAGTATAATGTAAATTAATTACAATAGAATAAATACTTTATATAAATTACAATATAATACATTTTAATTTAACCTACTTATTTCCTGCGGCATAACAGGACCTTCAGATTGTTCTTATTAATACCTAATGAATCCTCTTGTACAACTCTCTTCGCTTAGCTCTTTTAGCAGGTTTCTCGTTAAAACATCGAACAGTAATTTCTTGTATGGATTTTATAATTATATCTTTTTCCCTTTCTTGTATATTCATTTATTTTGAATATACTCGCATCCAGAACTCCAATATCTAACTCTATTGTGCCTGTGTTCTCAGGATTTGTGTAGGTGTTCTTTGTGTTCCCTTGATGCCTGTTTTTAACAATTGTCTAAAGGTGGGTTACTTTCCCTTAGCATGGAAAATTAATTTTACTATTCCCTTGTATAAGAGTGGTTCTAGAGACAACGTCAACGATTGTGAGAGGATTACAAAACTCAGTGTCCTTTTTAAGTCAACATGTATTCTTTAAATTCGGATTACCATCTAGTAACACGTTGAAGATTGTATGTGATATTCCTTAAAGATTGTGCGAAACAGTGGGTGTGACATATGAAAATGTCTCAAAAGCATTTGGTAGAGTGAAGGACGAACTTTTGATATGTAAGCTTCCGTAGTTGAGTTTCCTTGAGAATTTTTTGTTGTTGTTTTTCAATTTCATTTTAGACGGCAATTATGTAGTTTAATCGATTTAGAAGTGGATCGCTTAGCGTTCACTCCTGATGCAAAGTATGAAATTCATGCGTTCTCTGACAGTTCAGAAAGCGCATATGGTACATGTGTATACATCAGATGTATAAATAACGATACGAAAATACGTTCAAATTTGCTTTGTGCCAAATCAAAGGTGGCACCTATCAAGAAATGTAGTTTGCCAAGACTAGAACTCTGCGCTGCTGTAACAATGGTGCAACTCGTTAAGAAAGTTCAAGAAGACTACGATTTCATACAATTTAACAACATTTGCTTCTGGACCGACGCAACCATAGTGTTGGGTTGGATATCAGAAGATTCATGTAATTGGAGTACCTTTATTGCTAATAGGGTGGCAATCATTCAACAAGTTTCAACACGCTCGCAATGGAGACATATTCCTTCCAATTTAAACCCAGTTGATATATTATCTCGTGGTGTGTTACCAGCTGAATTAATGCATTCAACATTTTGGTTCCATGGGCCAAATTTTTTAACGTTAGCTTCGTCTATTTGGCCACAATTTCCATACAATTTAAAATACGATGATAACATATTAGAAAGAAAACATACAAAGATGATATTAATAACAACAATTTCACAACAACATGATTTAATCATTAGTATTAAATTTCACAACGATTATGTACGTTTGCTTAACACAGTCGCTTACATGCTGCGTTTTATATATAATTGTAAATTTAAGGCTAAAAGAAAATACGGTTCATTGGATGCTACAGAACTTGACTCATCTCGTCTAAAAATTATCAAATACATACGAATCATTTCTTTTCATGCTGAAATTGCAGCTGTACAAAAGGGTGCTAATCTTAATGCCAAAAGTCATATACAGTTTTTATCACCATTTCTTGGTAATACTGAAAGTGGGTGGCCGATTAAGAAACTGTAATCTGGACTTCAACAGTAAACATCCTATACTATTACCAAAAACTCACGCTTTTACGTATACACTAGTGCGTACTATCATAAAATTAATCATCATGTTGGCCCACAAACATTACTAAGCATAATTCGTCAATCTTATTGGCCAATCCATGGCAAGGTTATGTGCCGATCGATATGTCGAAGTTGTGTCTTATGCTTTCGTACTAATCCAACTAAGCAGAACCATCTTATGGGCGATTTACCTGATTTACAAGTTCAGCAATCAAGACCGTTTAGTGTAATAGGTGTCGATTTTTGTGGTCCATTTCAAATATATTATGGCAGACGTAATATTGCTTCTACAAAAGGCTATATATCTGTCTTCATATGCTTTTGTACAAAGGCCATACATTTAGAGTTGGTAGAAGATTTATCTGCTCAAGCTTTCTTAGCTGCTTTAAGGCGTTTCATTGGCGACGTGGCCTATGCTCAGTGATCTACAGTGACAATACAACTAATGTCGATTCGTTCACAGATTTAGGCGTTCTATTTGACTATAGATTACGTTTTAACTTGCACATTGAGCTCTCGTTAAGCAAAGCTAGGTCCACGCTTGGTTTTATAAAAAGGTGGTCCAAAGAGCTTGATGATCCCTACATTACGAAAAGGCTGTACATGTGTTTGGTTAGACCCATACTCGAGTATGCCTCAGTTGTGTGGTCTCCTTCATATAGGTGCTACGTAGATTCAATCGAATCTGCTCAAAAGCAATTCTTGCTGTTTGCCCTTAGAAATTTGGATTGGGATCCGGTTGCCTCTCTTCCTCCGTATGAAAATAGGTTGCTTCTGCTGTCCCTACCGTCTTTTGAGAAACGTAGATTTGTTCTTGGCGGTTCCTTTCTAATTAAAGTAATAAATGGTGCTATTGACTCGCCTTCATTACTTGGTGAAATAAGCTTTAATGTCCCTAACCGCTTCTCCAGGCACTTTATCTTGGTTAAGCTTAGTTAGTGTAAGTTTAATTATGAGCTGTTCAATCCGCTCAGAGTCGTTTGCAAGAACCTAAACGACGTCTACCACTTATTCTCGTTATCGGACTCTTTAAAGTCCATTAAAGCAACATTGCTTAATACGCGTGATTTACCTATGTCGTATTTAAATTAGTTTTTATCCTAAAAAATCGTTACGTTTCGAAAATGAATTATTGACAATTTATTATCGGAAGCCAGGCTTATGCATGTTTGCGATGGTTTAGGGGTTCATTTGCAATTTGGTCCTGTACCGGTTGTAAGTGTGTCCCTATGCTGATAGTGTAGATGCTTTTTTTTCTTTTTTCTTTTTCTTTTTCTTTTTTTTTCTTGTTATTTGTTTTATTATACTTATACTAAATTTTATTATTAATTAATATAAGTTTAGCATTAAGAGCCAATTGAATCGACTGTTATTTGTTTAGTTGAGTTTCTGGTATAAGTAGAATAAATAAATATATAAATAAATAAAATAAATAAATAAACACTTATAAAAAAAAGTAAAAATGTTGTATTCGGCGGGAGCTGAATCTCACATATCGATCACATACTTGCTACATTTAAGATATCGATGTTCAAGAAATCGGTTTTTTCTCAAGGCCCCAAGACTTTATGTATTAAACGTCCACCATAATTAAATTACAAGTAACACACTTTGTCCTTTCATTTAATACCTATTTGGAAAGTATTTTTTAGAAAATATTTATCCACTAACTCGTTACGTCGACCATAATTAATTTAGAATTTAGCTTCTCGCGTTCTGCCCTCCAAATTCTTTAATTTGATGCACATATCGCCGATATTATTAAAAAAAAGTTAATCCGTTAAATCGCGGTGTCTGCCATATTCACTTTAGAATTAACATAGAATTTTAGTCAGACCGTAAATCTTTATTTGAGGACTGTGTAAAAGAGTTTTAGACATTTTGTCTTGCCTTATGATAAATAAGCATTAAATCTCAAATAAGTGAAAAAAACAAAATTTAATCACTTGTAAGTGTTTGTGGGTATGGCCGATTTTTTCCATTTTTGCACGTAAGGAGGAGAGTGTTTCGTAAAATAAATATGGAAATCATTAGTTTTCTAACTTTTGTCATTTCTGAGTAACGACCAAAAACTCATAAATTTTTGTTAAGTAATAAGAGATAGCGTTCAGTTTACGCTTCACTTCGAGCTTCTGTTTTGACCTATTTGGACCATTTTCAATACCAAGCTGGGTGTAAAAAGTTCCAATGTTTCTACCAAATTTTATTTTCGCGATCAGGAGAGTGCCAAGACCAAATACCACACCTACGATTAATTGAAGGGATATTGAGTAGACTACCAAATGTTGAATTTGTCAGAAGCTCTGACATGAAAGATGCCTTTTGGCGAACACCGTTAGGCGAACATTCGAGAGAATACACCCCAAATTATGTTTGGATAAAGTGATCCCACCTCATTTACGTCGTCAAGGTTTTGTTTATTTCCATGCTAATTATTTCAAACACCTTTAATGAGCATCTCCAAACATTGTCTGAAATTGCGTTATGTACATGAAAAGCCAATGTAAATATTAATCTTGAAAAAGGTAAGGTATGCAATAACAGGTAAAATATCTGGGAGATATTGGCCATGCCACCATTCAAACAGATCCTGACAAACTTCAAGCTGTTCGCGAATATACTTTGCCGAAATGTCTACGTCAGCGATGAAGATTCTTAGGTGTATGCAATTAGTACCGACGTTTCGTTTGCAATTTTGTATATTTGTCCAGCTCCTTGACTGATATGTTAAAGAACAAGAAGAATGTCAAATGGTCAAATGCGAGAATTTGAAAAAAACAGTTATGTTCTGCGCCGTCCAGATTTCCCCCGCCCGTTTTCTATAAAATGGGATGCAGCCAGTTCCGGCTGTCCTGTTCGTCCGTTGACATACATTCTACTGTATTTACTTTCGTAGGCATATACATATTGATCTGTATATTTTGTTACAAACCCTTATTTATGAAGTATTATTTGCTATCGTTATCATGTTCAATTTTTCTTGCTATGTATGTATTAACGGCTACACATTGTAATATATTTATGTTTGATACCTATCCACATTTTCCATACATGAATGAAGATACATTTTAGTGAGAAGCGATAAGCATGTGCTAATATATATATAAGTAAGCATTATAGCGTATTGTAACATACATTGTATAATGTGTGCTAGCTTGTAACGAGCATTGACAAAGCATAAGCGTAATGAGTCAGCGATAGCTAAATCTAAGCATTTACTTGACATGGAGATGCGAGGTAGTTTTATTTATAAGCAAAGGAAGTAAGTTACGAGAAATGTCGTTAAAGAATGAATATCGTAGAAATTATGTTTTCCTTCACATCTTATCAATTCCTTAATTAAATGGGCTCGATTATCCTTGCACTTAGTCAAACCGCTTCCTTGTATTTAGCCAAATCACTGGACTTTATAGCCCTAATGAATAATTTCCTTGCATGGGGAGTGAGCTTTTGGAGCCTACGATTCCACTAAGGCGCGTCGCTTGTAGACTTTCTGTCCTTAAAGGTGCTTTTCTTAAACATCGTGCGCTTCAGTACTCCGTTCGTTAAACTGTACTTAGGTGACGGTGCTCCCTGAGTGTAGAAGGCCCGGTCTTTCTTTCCGTTTGATCCAAGCCATGACGAGTTAGCGTCCGTCGGGTTGCCAAACAGAACCTGTGGTGGAGATGCCAAACTGGAGTTTTTTCAGCCTTGTGGTCCTCATTGGCCTTTTTAGATACTTACCATTACTTGGACAGAGCACGATGGGTCTTCCGTGTCGTCTGTGCGGGCGCAGAAGTTGTCTCAGGAAGTTTATCCTTCCCTTCGGTCTCTTATTTGCACCTCCAAGTGATTCGAGCTGACAACCATCGAGAATGCCTTCCTTCCGATGTTGTCGGTACCCTCAGACATAACAACATCATCAATTTCCTCTGCGAGTTCGAACGTTGCGTCCCCTTGAGAATTTGATTTTGTTGATACTTTTTCTACTTCTTTCTCCGTACATATGTCTGAAAGCTTAGGGAAAGTAGTTAGTCGAGACAGAGCCCTTGTATCTCGGAATGTTAATATTGCTTCCGTAGAGGTCGCCAGATAGCTTCCGAAGACACACTCACGTAGTGCCATTCGACTCTGAGCAGGGTACGTATGACACTCCGGATGATAGGCTTTATCAATCCGGGAAGGATATATCACTAGTGCTGCGAATGACGGTTTGGATGGATGTTATGCTAGTGCAAAACCCTAAGACAGTTGCATTCCCCTTCATCCACGAGGTATTCGGCCCGTCGTTCGGCGCTCAATACTTCACTTGAAGAGAAACGGAAGATGCCCCAGATCTCGCCACCTTCAGCTTGTAATTATATGCATTATAATATTTTACTTTTAGTTGTATCAACAGAATTAGTAAACTGATCAAACCGGTAATAATTCGTGTTATAAAGCCTAACGGACAAAACAGGAGATAATTAGTGCGATAATGCGATAGTCTGAAGAGAGGGTAGCGTCCTGAAGACCTTCTCGGAACGTTCAGGTCGACAAACCTAAAAAGGAAACAAAGGGAAAGCTAGTTCCGAATCAGTTTTACTATAAAAATCGCCCCGATCATTTCCTGTCTCCTAAGCAGTGACGGCAAACTTATCAGGTTACGTCTATTTTCGTATGGCGTAAGATATATAGTGAATTCCCATTGCAAATCGCGTAAAGCAAAGAGAAGAAAATTTTTATGAACAGACTCTACTCAAACGGTCTTGAACAACGACAGAATGTTCCAAAATTGGACGAACAAGCGCAGTGTCTCGACGTCTGCAGATATAAGGGTTATTCAATTTTTTAGTACATCTCTTACCAAAACCTTACAACTTAGTCTTGTTAACGGAAAAGCCAATATAAAGACTAATCTTCAGTTTGGAATCAAAAATACAAATTCAAATTTTTAAACCAAGATATATTATAATTAAGCATATTTGTGTTTCGTTTTATATACAGCAACTCTGAACTCATATAATAACACTTATAACGCTATTATTTTGTTAGCAGCTCCAATCTATAACATTTAGTACTTAGAAGATTAAAATTAGATCAAAGTTCTATTGCAATGTTCAATGAGTTTCTTTTCATGAGTGAGTAACCTCGATAAGAAACGATTTCCCAAAAACTACTTATTGAGGGAATAAACGTTTGTGCGTTCCTTGAAAGACGTAAAAAGTTAAATCTTTGCGCTTAAAACTGCGCTGTATCACTGTTGATTATTTCTTACAACCAGGAAATTTTTAAAAGAATTTTTTAAGAAGTAATTGATATGCGTCGATATCCATATTGATCAAAGATAGAATTATGATGTCTTACGCCAAATGCAAACGTAGTAATCTTATTCACCATCAGTTTAATTCTATGAACATTTAGTAATTTAGCAATTGTATACAAATATACTTTCATACAATAATA